TTTATTTTGTAGGTACATATCTCTTTTAGTTGTGAAGAACGCAGACTTTTTTCGAGAGATGGCGTATAGTGTGCTGGAAACTGAAAAACCTTCTGGTTTGTTTTGGAAAAAATATATTAATAATAATTATTATTATTTTATCTTGTTAAAAATTGTTAAGAGAATACCTGGCAGTGAGAGTTGTTGTCTGTCATTTTAATTCACAGACAAATTGAATTTTCTGTCATTGTGTTTGGATGATATAGGGAAAATTAAAGACAGTTGAAAAAGTGTGAAGTATATTTTTTGTCTTTCTGAGCAGTACTAAAATTTGTACTGCATACGTTACAAATGTCATCAATATTGGATTATTATTTTTTTGTAGATAAAAAAACTTTATGCATTTCATTACTTACTACACGCTTTGGTTTTGGCATTATTGAATACTGAGATTTATCGGTAAAATAAAATATTGCACGTCATATACTGGTACTTCCAAACCAATTTACCCGTTGCATATACAATTAGCTTGAACTAAAGTCCGTCCAGTGAGTCAGGGAAGATTTCGACAGATGACATTGAAAAAAATGACAGAAAATACAATGTACTTATGAGTTAAAATGACAGAACACTGTCACTGTGCTGGATCGCCCGACAGACTTATATTCATGTAATATAATAAAGACAAAATAATTCATAATTCACATCCACGAGTGCACAGAAAACGAAAAGATTGAACACATAGATATATACAGGGTGTTTCTTAATGACATGCTAATATTTAAGGAAGTGGTTCTTGAGCCTATTATAAGAAAAAAAAATCATCTGAATATATGTATGTCCTAAACAGCTAAACAACTTTTCAGATACAGGGTGGTAAAATTTTCTAATTTTTTTTTCAAAATATGTCTGATGTTTTATTTGATACACATCTTCCATGCATCAAAATGCTTATTTTGATATTATATAACAAAATTATTTAATTTCTTAGTTTTCTTCCAGCCGATGCAGAAATGATTTCCACACCGCATCAGATTTTGAGCGACTTGACCCTGAAGTAAACTGACTTTAATTTTCTTTAAGCAAAAACTATGCGTCGCACAAAAAAAATCAGGAGATTAAAAATAAATGGGGATTTTGAAAATAATTTTTCTTTTATGAGAAGTTAGTGGTGTACCACTTTTTTCTCCAAAAATATACAATGTAAAACCCGTATGGACGGCATTTGTTGAATTATATAAAAAATTTTGTACACCAAAAAAGGTATCTTGATGCATAGAAGTCGTCTATCAAGTTTCATAAAGATATCTATAATAAATTCAGAGTTATTATAAAAAAAAATTTTAGAAAATTTTACCACCTCAGAAATTAAGATGTTTATGGTATACATTCATATGAATTTTTCCCTTAGAATAGATTCAAGAATTACCACTTTAAATATTAGCATGTCATTAAGGAACACTCTATATGCAATGGGTACTTTCAAACAGTGTGTTTTTGATAGATATGTAACATCGTAACGTTTAAAACATTCAAGAAAGTTAGGTTTTGTTTTTACGGTTAGATTTGCCGGACATTTTTCTAGATTTCTGCCTGATCAACCCGGACTTATCCGGGCTAAATCCGGACGTATGGAAACCCAACGAGTACTGGGCTGCGCGTTTTATCACGGCGGCGTTTCGGAACAATCGTACCTTCATCATCTCGATCGGCGCCCAGTCCGTTCGCTCGCAATTAATTAATAATGTCGATAAATCGGACGGTCGCGGCACATTCCTTCTCCGAACCGATGGCGACCGGCATAAATTCAGCTGCCGAAAAAGCCCGCACGATTCGCTCGTTCCGCTCGCCGCGATCGCCACTAGGAACGGCCGAAAACATCGATACGCCCAGATATCGATACTCGAACCTGGCTGGGAGAATTGTCGTCAACGTCATCGTCATTTAGCTTATTCTGTCTACGGCTGAACAAAAGCCTACCTCAACTGTAGCCATTTCTTTCTATTTTGTGTAACTTGAATCCAGTTTCCAGCCACTCTCTTAATATCATCTGTCCATCGACTAGGAGGTTGGCCTCTGCTTCTATAGGCCTCGTGTCTTGGTTTCCGTTCCACAACTCTCTTTGTCCACCGTCCATCTGTTATCCTCACTGTTCGGTTTTTATATGATTCAAAATAAAAAATATATAAATTGTAAAATTAGTAATTTTTTAATGGCCATAATGGCGTTCTTTCAAAATCATCGAACAACTAAATCATTTCCATAGATCCAGTGACGTACCGTGACTTTGAATTTTGAGACCAAAAACTGACAAATAATTTGTCAAAAAAATCATATTACAGCTATATGTTTTATTTTGCATAAAAATGTTAACTAATAAGTTAGAATAATTATATTTCTTCCCTAACAAAGTGGTTTTATCGCTAAATTTAACTAAAGCTAAGTACAACACAAATCTTAAATACGTGGACTATTATAACAACAAATACATCGTAAAAGACTATTTTGGCAGCATTCTGAACGAAGATTCAAGTTAAACTTTTTAGAAAATAAGTTAAAGGAAAAATGAACCTGCTCGCCGATGCTTGTTCCGAGTAAAATCCTAGAGCTCTATGATTTGCTTTTATAAACTCTGGCACATGATGCAGAATTGCATGAATCTTTGGAGTTATCTTAATATCTAAGTTGAGTATTTCCAATCTAAATTGTTCGATGTCATGTTCAAAATGTTTGTTTAGTGCTTGACCAAAACAACTCGAAACTACTTGATTGAATGCAGAAAACACTGCAATATATTTATTTCCTAAAAAAAGATGTTTAGGTTTTGCTTCTAAAAACTTTGAATAGGATTCTTTACCGGGCGATATCGTCTTCAAAATATCCACTTTCTTCAAAAGTTGTCTGGCGTTATTTCCGTTACATTTTCCATAATGATCTAGTTTCAATCCCGCTTTTTTTTATCCATTCTGTTGCAACATTGGTATTCTCCAATTCAAGACAATCAAATAGTTTTTGAACCACTCCTAACAAAAGGTGAAGCTCAGGAGAGGGAATATACTTTAAGACAGGTGTTTCTTTGTCGCCAATGATTAAAGGTATGTTTATACAGTTTTCTAAAAAATAATTGCCCTTTATATGGGACATCAGTTTAAAAAATACAAAAAAAAATATTTCAAACAAAAACG